GGAAGTACTATAAGCAACCTTGAAATTCAGTGTGTCATTTCGCCGAAGGGGAAACAACTTTCTTCTTTCATAATGTTAAACATGTCGAGTTTCGTGCCAAAAAAAGAATATTTGCGGGGAATTTTATTGCACTACTTTATTAAAAAAAAATCTGCAGCTGAAGTACACAAAATTCTTGTTGAGACTTACGGCGACCATGGTATATTGGAAACAACATGCAAAGATTGGTTTAGACGCTTCAAAAGTAATGATTTTGATATTCCCTTATAGAAATATCATACTAAGAATCATTGATAATTACTTATTATCCAGTATTTTTAATACTAAAAATAAGTAATTATCAATGATTCTTAGTATGATATTTCTATAAGGGTTGAAGATAAAGAACGCTTTGGCACACCGAAAAAGTTTGAAGACGAGGAATTGGAGGCATTACTTCATGAAGACTCATGTCAGACGCTAGCTAAATTTGCAGAATCATGAGGAGTTGATCACACAACAGTTTCGAAACGTTTGAAAGTATTAGAAATGATTCAAAAGCAAGGACATTGGGTGCCGTACGAGTTGAAGCCGAGAGACGTCGAACGACGTCTTTTCACGTGTGAACAGCTGCTTCAACGGCAGAAAAGGAAAGGTTTTTTGCATCGTATCGTGATTGGCGATGAAAAGTGGATACACTACGATAACCCTAAGCGTAGAAGATCGTGGGGTAAGTCCGGCCATGTATCAACATCGTCGGCAAAGTCGAATATCCATGGTTTGAAGCTTCTGCTCTGCATTTGGTGGGATCAGCTGGGTGTAGTTTATTATGAGTTACTCAAACCGAACGAAACCATTACGGGAGATCGCTATCGACTACAATTGATGCGTTTGAGCCGAGTATTGAAGGAAAAACGGCAGCTATACGAGCAGAGACACGACAAAGTGATTTTGCAACATGACAACGCTCGGCCACATGTTGCACAACCGGTGAAAACCTACTTGGAAACGCTTAAATGGGAAGTCCTACTCCACCCGCCGTATGCGCCAGACAATGCCCCTTCCAATTATCACTTGTTCCGATCGATGGCACATGGCCTGGTTGAGCAGCACTTCCATTCCTATGAAGATGCCAAAAAATGGGTCGACTCTTGAATAGCCTCAAAAGACGTGTCCTTTTTCCGACGTGGAATTCAAATGTTGCCAGAAAGATGGGAAAAAGTAGTGGCTAGCGATGGACAATACTTTTAGTAACATGTTTTTTACAACTTTTTTTAAATAAAGCATTAATTTTCACAAAAAATCAGCGAGAACTTATTCGAGGTCCTAATATATATGGTAACTTTTAAGATCAATCCAAGCGAGAAGTGCGGTAATGTAAACGCCTACGTGATAGGTGCGGTGATTGACTCAGGTTCGCCAATTATTATTCACGACAGCGTAGTTGAAAATAAAATCTACATCCCGGCAATCAAGGACACTAATCTATTTTGTGGATAAACGGTTTGCGGCTTAAGTTTCTAAATGTCTTCCATGGGGATGTAGAGATACAGGGAGCACGTACAAAGATAAAATTTTAAACTGTACCTGATCACATGATGGCGTATAAAGTGCTTTTAGGCAGAAACTTTTTAGCTTGTCCGCAGTTACGCATTACACTCGGGGATGTTGTCGAAATCGAAAACATTGAAGAAACTAGTATTACACAAGTGTTCCCTTATCGAAATATCATACTAAGAATTATTGATAATTACTTATTTTCAGTATTAAAAATACTGGATAATAAGTAATTATCAATGATTCTTAGTATGATATTTCTATAAGGGTTGAATATTGTGGGCGTCGAAGAATCTAATGGTGTGTGCAATAAGCTGCAGATTAATCCGGTGATAGGTCGAGAGCAGATTGACGGGATTCGCGAAATTTA